ACTCCACCACTTCCCTGAGCAGCCTGTTCTGGTGCTTGACAACTCTTCTGGTGAAGACATTTTTCCTAATATCCAATCTAAACCTACTCTGGCACCACTTGAGGCCATTTCCTCTTGTTCTGTCATCTGTTACATGGGAGAAGAGAACAAACACCACTTTGCTAAGACCTCCTTTCAGGTAGTTGTCAAGAGTGATAAGGTCTCCTCTCAGCCTCCTTTTCTCCAGGCTAAACAACATGATTTCCCTCAGCTGTTCCTCATAAGTCTTGTTCTCTAGGCCAGGATGCCGTTGGCCCTCTTGGCCACCTGGGCACGCTGGTAGCTCATGTTCAGCTGGCTGGCCATCATCACTCCCAGGGCCTTTTCTGCTGGGCAGCTCTCCAGGCACTCATTCCCAAACCTCTAGCATTGCCTGGGGTGGTCGTGGCCAAAGTGCGGGAACCAGCACTTGGCCTTGTTGAAACTCTACAACTGGCCTAAGCCCATTGAGCCAGCCTATCCAGGCCCCTTTGTAGAGCCTCCCTACCATCAAGCAGATCAACACTCTTGCCCAGCTTAGTGTTGTCTGCAAACTTACTGAGGGTGCACTTGATCCCCTCATCCAGATCATTGGTAAAGTTATTAAACAGAACTGGCCCCATTACTGAGCCTTGGGTAACACCAGTTGTGACTGGCCACCACCTGAATTTAACTCCATTCAGCCACCACTCTTTGGGCCTGGCCATCCATCCAGTTTTTTACCCGACAAAGAGTACACCTGTCCAAGCCATGAGCAGCCAGCTTCTCCAGTAGAATGCTGTGGGAAACAGAGTAATAAAACAACAATATAAAGCAACGAGGTAATACGTTAACAGCAAATGTCTTGGACTACTTCAGACGATTTTTCTTCCTCAATTACAGACCAGTAAAGTCAGTGGATTTTATAAATTAGAACACAAAGAGGCCATCATAGAAGGTAATGGAGCAAGTCTGACTTTCTGCATTCTTGTTTTAAATATAGAATTTATTACCTGCTCCTGCACAACCTACAGCCCAACAGGGTTTAGCTGGCAGTCTTAAATTTTAATTTCATCCCAGAGTGGAGACACTGTTTTGCATGTTTTTGTGCAGCACAGATAACTTAGTTGCCAGGTGTGAGATGGTCCAACTACTCTGAAGAAGAGCCTGGTATAAAAGCTGCTATTCCGGCCACACTCAGAGCTTCACTGTGCTTGGTGCTGTACAAAGAGAGGAAAGACCATGAACTTATGTCTTCAGCAGCTGGAGCAGACAAGTGCCAAAGAGATCAAAGTGTGAAATAACAAGTAACAGCCTTGCCAGCCAGCTCAGTTCCCCCTTATCAAGCTGCATTCCCTACCTAAAAACATCATGAGGAAGATTCTTTAGTACTTTTCTGATGTCAAAATGAAAAACTTTCATGCAACTATACCACTCAAAGCCTGACCTATCCCTCAAGGGGCTGTGTTTGTTAGAAAATCACTTGTAAGAGATAGGATTGCATAGCTCCTTTATGTACATAGCCTTGGGAAAGAATATATACTATAGTCTAGCCTAATGATGACATTGAGATACTCTAAGTATCTGAAGTTATAAATGTTTCTGTTTCATGCAGCAAATTCTACTTTCTTCTTTAATTTAACAGCAGTAAAAACCTGGCTGTAACAGGGCAGAGAATACTGATGCTTATACCACCAGAAACCCATTTCCTCCAACTGATGCTTTTCAGTGATGAGTTATCAAAATATTTTTAGCTGGTTCCCATTATTGTGTGTGTATTAGTATGGCTTCTTGGGCCCACTTTAAAATAATCATTACTGTTTATCTGTTTCTAGTTCTTTCTATAGGAGTTGTTCTTTAAATTCTGTAGCACTTCCATGACTGAAGTACCAAGGAAATATACAAGTACATAAACAACTGACTGTTTTCATCCTTTCATCCAAATTGCATCAAGAAGCTAGTCTATGGAAAGAGCTAATGATCCAATCAGCATAAGAACATATTACAAATTGGAATTCTAATAGATAATTTCTAGATGCAGATTTATCATGTAATTATACAGTTGGAGAAATGGAATATCTTTATGATTGGCTTTTGCTATTGCTGTAGCCTCTTGCAATGATCTCTTTAGCATTTAAATTCCTAGTTGCATTCCACAGACAAGGATTTCAATGAATGTTACTCGACAGGGAAGCCTTCAATAAGGAAGGTGGCAATGCGAAAAAAAAGCATGCCACAAATAGGTACAAAGGGACTGCAAGCCAGGGCATCTCTTTGCATTCTCTGTTAATGTGACATTGGTGCATTGTTTCCACGCAGTTCACTAATGCAAACTGTATAATATTGTCCACCCAGCAGTCCATCAGACAAGTAAAATGAAATGACAATAAGCAATGAATTAATAAACCTTTGCAGAAATGACAATAAACAACAAATTAACAAGCCCTTGCTAGGGCTTCCTTGAATCTGTGGCTTCTGTATCATGTGAATTTCTGCTTTTGATAAAACCAGAGTAAGGAAATAGCTGATATAGCACAGCTATACTTACTTAGACATATCCTTACTTGTTTGTGCCATGTTATGCACGGTTCAGTCCCAAGAGCCCTAAAAGAAAATACAGTTAGCTGCGAAACAAGAACCAAATCCACAAATACTTTTCCCAACATATGCTACAATTGTCTCTGATGAGAAGGACTGTCTGTCAGCGATGCTTGGGAACACATTTTAAGCTCAGGGTTTCAAGTATATTCCAAGAGAAATGTAAAACTTGAGCAAGTTCTATTGTGTTCTTATGCCATCCTTCTCCTCTCAGTGCTTGATTTTGAGAGGCATATGGCAGCAAAAGCTCACCATTTTTACTTTAGCTCAATCAAAAAAAAGCTAACTCCTGGGTGGTCAGCTGTAGCGCTGCATATTTGCATGACAGCCCAACAGCCAGACATGGCAGCATTGACACACTCCCTCTGCTCTCTGCATCATAGAGTCATAGAATCATTAAGGTTGGAAAAGACCTCTAAGATCATCCAGTCCAAACCGTCTACCCAACACTACCATGACCACTAAACCATGTCCCAAAGTGCCACATCTACACATTTTTTTAAACACTTCCAGGGATGGCAACTCCACCCTCTTTTTGTCTTTGGAGGTACCAGAGGTGCCATATCATCCATATATCTTTGTCGTGCTGGTTTTTGAGATTTCCACCTCCACAGCCCATCAAAACTCACACAGCGTAGCAGACAATAAATTGGCATTAAAGTGGCTGGTCCCACCTTTATATACAAATATCAGTCACGATCCTCTTTGTTAATCATGAAATCGGGAGCCAAACACATATGACAAAATGGGCTGCTAGAATTGTCATTATGGTTTTATTTAGTAGAGAACTTCTCATACATTTTTCTAAACAGGCAGTGTTATTTAAAAAAAAATCAGAAACAAAGTCATGATCAAAACCACACATATAGAATAAATTAAATAAACATTTCTCCTTTTGATAATGACTTAAGTATAGGATAAGTATACCATATTATTCTAGACATTCTCCATAAACAGTTCATATCCAATAGTTTCTCCATTAAGTATTCAGATAATCAATATATATCAGCTAAACCATTCTGGCACTGACTGGGTCTTTAAAGGAACAAGTTGGCTGGAAAAAAATGATATTTCACTGAAGAATAAAGCTATAGAAATTAAGTTTCTCAGTGGTTATGCATCCTTAACCCTCTGTTCTCTCCCTTCTCTCTTGGACTTAACCTACAGCAAACTGCCTTCAACTGAGCACAGCTGGAAACTGTTGGTGTCACTGCTTAGTTTAGCCAAGGGAATAAACAGCACTGGAAAGCATCAGGGATCATCCACAAAGCCAACATTAGCCTGCTGATGCTAAGCTCCTAAGAAACCCTCCTCAGAGTTGCTCTTTGCTTCTACAGAGGAACGTATTCATTCTTTCACGCCAGAAAAAGCCCAGTACTAGCTTCAATTGGGTAAATCTGGCATCTGTGAACATCCACACACTGTTTGCACAAGGAGAGACTTCTGCTGTAGCGAAGAAATTAATCTAGGTCAGCAACACTGAGGCTGTGGTGTCAATCATATGCAAAGGCTTATCACGCAGTTCCTATAGGTCCTGTTTCAGCCCAGTGGTTACTGCTCAGATTGACCTGATGGCTAGGGAGCCTGCTGTACAGCATTGCATGGACCAGAAGAGCAAAATCTATCTTTGACTTAGAGATCTCATAGCCTAGGCTAATGTAATAAATAGTAGTCCTTCATTGCAATAAAGTAAGGCTGCACCAAGTGGAGTTGTTTCCTCTCTTCTTGCCACATCCCAGCATAACCCCAATGCCATAAAAGAATATAGCTGTAACTCATAATATTTAACATTAACTAGAGTGGTAAAGGGAACAAATTTTAGTTCACTGTATTAGACATTAGTTTTTTGTTTAAGAAACTGAGTTGAAAAATCAGTTTGCTTATGGTGTCTCTCATTAATACCACTTGTCTACAAAACTACACAAGAAAACACTTCAATAATGTACACTCCACCTAAAATAACAGCAGCTTTGACAATGATCAGCTCTATCCTAACCAGAACCTTAATCCAGCCAACCTTTGTATCTGTTTTCCTTAGAAATGCCTTCTCCTTCTTGTCACTGAAACATCACCAACTCTAACTATTCACCTCATGTCTTATTTAGTGTCTGCCTACAGGAACTCAGTTCCTGTAGGCAAGTAGTTAAAAGAAAATCTATTTCCCTTTGCAGAGTTTCTAGGTGTCACACTTGCAGTAAAAGGCTTGAAACCATGAACCACATCAGCTTAAAGCAAGCAAAAAAAAAAAAAACACCTCAAAGGCACTTTTTGAACAAAATTCTCAGAATTTTCACAACAAGTTTATAATCCGAAGAGGAAAGGCAGTCATCTGATCCACAATTTCTAAATCCTTGGGGTTCAAATATAAGGATTCCTCTTCACCTTCCTTTTCCTCTTCTGCTTTTCTACTCTTCGATTTTGCATGAGGGACGAAGATGCCCAAATTTCTGGTAGAAATCATCTTCAGCCCGATTCAGAGCTTCCTCATCTATGTAGACAGCTGGTCTCCGGGAAACCAAAAAGTACTGCACTTTCCGCAGGCTCCATCCCATCACGTACTTCAGCCACCCACTGACAGCAGCCGTAGACCTGCCAACACCAGCGTTGCAATGAACGTAGACAGTGTGTCCGTTCTCCAGCAGCCCGTGCAAGAGGCAGACAGCCTGTGGCAACATCTGTATTCTTCCTAAGGTTAAAAACAAGGTACGTTCATTTGCATTTAAGAAAGCTAGGTGCACAGTGGAGATTATGTCTGTACCACCTGATGAACTGTGAATCGTAATGGCAAACCTGACATATCTGGGGATTTTTTTTTTTTGTTGTTTTGTTGTGCTTTTTTTCAAATTAACTTCTACTCTGACTTTGGTTTTTCTTGCAACATAGATTCGGATCACACAAAATCTGGAAAATTCCCCAAATCTTCTGATTAACATTGGATGTGGCATGTTCATTTGCACAGGGATGGAGACAATGCAGCAAACTACAAACAGCACATCTCACACAGCATTAAAGTTACTAAGCCAAAAATAAAATGTGTTTTAGAACCAGAGGTTTGTGAAGCTACTTACCTATAGTTGTTTTCCAAAACACTGTAATGAATGCCGTTATGTCAACAGTAAATGAGGGAGGGAGAGCAGAAGAGTATTTTCCTGTATAACTTAATACTCTTACAATTTAGTTGTGTACTAAGCATACTGTTAAACAACATAGAAGAGCCTTTCTCACTCCAAAAGGCATGAATATACCATATTTCCTGATGCCTTCCTCCCTGCCACCCTAGGAACTGAAGCTGCGAATATCACAGCCTAACTTTTCCCCATGGCACAGACGAGCATTGACATTAAGCCCTTTCAAATTCCTGTTTTAAGATCTCCTGTCTTCCCAGATGTCCTATTACTGACAGGACAGTTCTCCATTTGTGGCAGCAGTATTTCACGCTACTGAAAGCACTCTCTTCTGCTGGTAGGCTACTCACTTGAAAACATGTATGCTTCCTAAACTACTAGTTGGAAACAAGATTTAGAACCAAGTATTACAAGAGGTATTAATAATAATAATTTATGTTACAACATCAGATGCTATGGGTAATCTAAATTAATTAGAAACAACTATATAAATTATGGAGATTCATCACACTAGGATACTATAGTTAAAGAAAACTTATTTGTTAGGGGAAGGGAATAGCAGAGACAGACATACGGCACTGCCTCTCCATTTTTAACCATCAAGGATGGCAAGCTGTCCTGCTGTGCAAGCTTGTAGTCTTCTACCTACACAGCATATTTTCATTATATGGGTTGAATTTAAGCTGAAAGCAAAACCAGTCAAGCAGTTATCAATGTCTAATGGCTTTAAACTCAAATAAATATACACTGCCAGACACAAAGTACTTTAGACAGCCTCTCCACCTACAAGAAAATATGAATAATTTGTTAGAGACAACACACAGAGAAATTATACCTTGTGCATTAGCTATATTTTTACCCAAAATTTACACAGAAAAGAACAGTCACGAAAGTGACAGATTAGTAATTCAAAGAGTTTGTTACTATTAATTTACTGCAAGAGCGGCCTGTGCCTTACCTTCAGTGCTCATGTCTGGGGTTGGCATCCAGACATAGGCAAGACCTTCCTCTTTATACAGTTTCATGAGGGTTTCAGGGCTCATAGGTTCTGGGTAGCGGTTGCAGCCCCAGGAATTCTGAACAATGTCCCACTCGGTCTGGAAGTTCATGACAGCCGTGATACCCAGCTCGTGCTTCAGCTTGATGGTCACGTGCTCCAGCTGCCGAGGGCAACTTCCCAGCCAGATGTTTGGCAGAATTCTAGCATTGAGAAAACATTGCAGTGGAATTGATTAAAGTACCTTAACAAGGAAACTGCCAAGTTCAGCGGCATTCCAGCTCCAAATCTGTTTAGCATCATCACATGAACACTGTGAAGCACAGCCTTTTCATGTCATGCAGTAAGCAGCTTCTTATTTCGTTAGTTCAGTTGGTAATGTTTGATGCTGGGGATCAAGTTCCTAACCTACCACAAAGAACCAGACAGACTGAGAAAAAATTCAAAGCATAATTAGTAGCACAGGTCTCCAGGGCATCCATTATTAAGCTTGCAGCAGAAGCTTACTAACATCACAGATTAGAATAAAAAAGCTCTGAAGGGAGGTGATTCTGCCTCTCTGCTCTGCCCCTATGAGACCCTATCTGGAATACTGTGTCCAGCTCTGGAGCCCCCAACACAAGAAAGACATGGGGCTGTTGGAGTGAGTCCAGACAAGGGCTACCAAAATGGTTAGAGGGCTGGAGCACCTTTCCTACGAGGACACGCTGAGAGCATGTTCAGCATGGAGAAGAGAAAGCTCTGGGGAGAACTTACAGCAGCCTTCCAGTATCTGAAGGGGCCTACAAGAAGGCTGGGGAAGGACTTTTTACAAGGGCCTGTAGTGATAGGCTGAGCTGTAATGGATGGAAGCTGGAAGAGTGTACGTTTAAACTAGATATAAGGAAGAAGTTCTTTACCCTGAGTGGTGAGACACTGGAACAGGTTGCCCAGAGAGGCTGTGGATGCTCCATCCCTGGAAGTGTTCAAGGCCAGGCTGGATGGAGCCTTGAGCAACCTGATCTAGTGGAAGATGTCCCTGCCATGGCAGGGGGGTTGGAACTAGGTGACTTTTGATGTCCCTTCCAACCCAAATCATTCTATGACTTATGCAATTTGCTCTAAGATTCACCTTATCCAGATCTGAATTAATTTAGTAATAAGTCAAACACAGAACTCTTCCAGCTTTGTAGCTACCACTATAATGAGTAAACTAGACAGAAATAAAACCCAACCTAAACTACCTTTCTATGAGGAAACTCAAAAATGAATGAGCAATTTTCTTTTAATTTTTCTCTGATTTTGTGGAGTCTAGTGGGAACCAAACGCAGGATTACAATACTTGTCTAGCATCCCTCAAGGCCTGAAGAACCAGAAATTTCACAAGAAAACTTGTAAGATATGTGTAGGATGAATAGACATCCATATTTCTGGTACTAATCTAAATCAAACATCAAGTCTTATGATAATCAACAATGGGAAAACCATAGAAAACTATTGCATGTCTCAACAGATTTTGACATAAATATAAATGGAATATTAAGAGGTTTGTTTTTAAATGAGGATTTTTAATCTGCACATACAATTAAACTGACTGTACCTACAATGGATTATTTACATGGATAAATTAATGATCTCCTTGTATTATTTATTTGTTTGTATAAACTTTTTTTAACATGCAATCCACAAACTACATAAAAGATCCCTGCAGTTGAACTTACATCTTTGCAAACATTAACTGCAAAAAATGAAGCCAATCTACAACAAAAGCATGATCCTCAAAAATAAAATGTCTCCCGTGCATTTTTTATGGTCTTTTCCAATTTTAATCTCAGAGACAAACAAGAAAGTTTTGCATTTATTTAGCAGCTTTTATGCCTATAAACAGCCCTTAAATGATCAGGTAGCTATTTCCATTCCACTATCACAGCGCTTAGAAGCATTTAATTAAGACCTGCAATTGACAATGATTAAATCTTGCTATGTTACTACTCAAAGACTGTCAAAAAAATTCAAATCCAGGAATACTTATTATGGTTTCCTGTATTTCAGCTGCATCCACAGTGAGTTACACATCAGCCACAAAAACAGACTTTGGCCTCAACAGCCTCAGTTTCAGAGAAACAACACAGTTGATCTCAGTATGTGATAATGAGTCCAATTTAGACAAATATATTACATAACAAATAATCATTTCAATCACCTGTTAACAGTGAGATAGTTTGAAGAGATTTGACTTAGCCGTTGTTTCACACCCATGTTCCAGTCTAGATCGCAGTAAGAGTATTTCCCACTGCTAATAGTAAATGCATTTGTTGCCAAGCAGCAGGCGAGCTTTAACCCAAAAGTTCAGAAATTAACATCTACACTTAGTAATTTCCTTTGTACTTTTCTCACGCTCTTGAATACTACTTTTGTAAGGGAGACAAGACATGGAATGAAGTTGTAACACTCAGGCTCTGAATTTCTTGAGCTGCAACTTAAATTCAGCTCATATATTAAATATCAATACTCAGTCAACAGTGGACTCCACAGCAACCTGAAGAAAATGCAATAAAGTAGAACTATGCAATACTATTATGCCCAAGGCACAATCCCACATACTAGTAGAGGAAAGGAGTTTCTCAAAATTGCCCAAAATCCAGCACCACCAGCTCAATCAGTCCCACTGACGAGAGGAGGATCCACTGCAACAGTTGCTTCAGTGCCTGCTCCACAGCAAACTCTAACCTGAAAGAGCAACCACTGTCAGGCTTCTGCCACATGAATCCACTGAAGTGATTAGAGTATTTCAAGGTGGTGAATGTAAGTCAAAATGCTCTAAAGATGATTTCTGATAGCCTTAATGAGGGCTTAATTATGCTGAGGACCAGGAAAATATATGTATTAAACAAAGCAAGAACATGGTACGTCCATTCTTACATCTCTTTCCTGAATGACACGACTTCTAGTTTTCCATTTCCAGTGCAGCCTTTCATTCTTTAAGTTACCACTGTACTTCAGCAAGTAGCTAAATTTTAGCCATGAGAATATCTGGTATGGGAAAGAGACCTCTCTTACTTTCCCCTCTCTACTGTCATATCACAGTGCTCTGAGCTCTCCGACAGCTGCTGTCTTCCAGCTCACACCTGGTCGTTTTCCAGCAGCAGATTAAGCCATACCTACATACAGTTCAAAAAACATTTAGGGTTTACATGTGACTGATAAACCTATAAACTTTTCAGCTAATAACTCACTGTCATATTCCCCAAACATCACAACAAATAAGTGCTTTAACAAAACTCTACTTAGAATTCTGTTTTAATATAAAACCAGCACTTTGTCATTGCACATGTTAACTGCCTGTGTCAGTAAGGATAGTAAATCATGCTTGGTTCAAGAAGATATGGGCAATTCGGTCAGAGACAGTTTATCAATGAAGAAAACACCTAGAGTAACATCTCAGAAGCTAGATTCTGAGATTAGGACTTGTAAATTACCTAAAAGCTCTTTCTTTAAAACTACTTTCTGTAAAGTTACTGTCAGCCTGCCCTATGCTTCAGTTCTCTATCAGTAATATGGAGATACTTACCTATCTTAAGGGGACTTTTGGGGATTAAATGAATGAATGAATGAATGTGAGAAGCTTGAATTTGTGGTAACAAGAACTAAAGGTTAGGCAGGTGTCTGCTCAGTTTACTTGACATACAGAGCCCAGACTGAAGGATAATGTGTTAAAATCCTGTCTCTTGACTTACAAACTGAGAAAACCAACGCCAATTTATCTTTACCATGGAATAAATATGGAACACCCTGAAATCACTTACATGGTTATTTTCCAGCTGTCATCACACTCAAATTATTTTTAATGTTGCAGGTATATATTTCACTTGGTTACCTCCCCCCAGCATACTGCATGGCCTAGATCAAATTATAACAATCCACTAGGAATGCATCTGAAACAACAAATGCATTCTGTTTAATCAACACATATGCAAACAGTCTTCCCATCCTTAAGGAGAAAATGAGTCTGAGGCAGTAGAAGATTAGCACTATGATTTTTTTTTTTCCACTGGTGCAGATTGTAATTTTCAAGCTAGAAGAAATGTTCCAAATGCATGACAACACTGCGTTTAAATCTTAGCCCTCCATAGATAGTGCAAAACCAACCCAGCAGCCATAGATGCAGAGATCTGATTCACAGGGAGGGTGACCTGCCCTAGAGGGAGATACCAGGTTAATGCATCAGGGTGTCAGCTCCTCCTTCACGGCACAGATGTCTACCCTGTTTCATAAGCAGCTCTTGTGTTACTCGTGTGGATAACGGTTTAAGGCAAATGGGCACCAAACTCAAATTTCCTTGAAGTGCTGAGGTACTGTGTTCAGATCTGTTCAATCATCAGTGTACTAGGAGCAGGAATCTTACAGTCTCTCCTAGAATCAGTCAACCTTTCTAAGGTGTCCCAGTTTTTACAGAAAAGGGTAGGATTTGAGCCTTTGGGGAATGTCTTTCATCAGAACATCTACCAGGTACAATATTTCAGGTATCCTTTTATCCCTGTAGTTGCCAGCTTTAATCAAGAAAGAGGACTTTGCCAAACTAAATAAAAATACTGAGGTATTTTTTGTTGGTTATTGGCAGAGTGATCCATCAACCATGCCGTTTGCTTATACTGGTAATATTTTAGACTAAGGCCCAGCGTATTATTTCAAATGAAAACTGATGGATTGACTTATCCTTCAGCACCAGGTCAAGATGTTTCCTGATCTTAAAGCTTGCAGTTCCCTTCAGTTGTCTGCACCTGTCTACCTTAGATCCCACTAAGCATCTGATGACAGGAAGATGAGTGCTAATATATGTGTATAACAAGATAGAGCAATTTAGCTGAAATAACAAACAAAATAATGATGAAATTGGCTGTGTCCTCCCTCAAGGCTTTTATTTCCTACAGGTGTAGCATGCAACTACAGCTAGGTGTAACTTGGAGCAAAACTTATTCTGCATTCCCAGAAAAGAAACACCTGTAAGTCAGTGAATTTACCCCCAGCATTTTGATGCTCGTATGCATACAGAGTGGTTCTTGTACCGATGTACTGCTGTTACTCTGGCACCACTACAAGCAAGCTGCCCAATGGGAACGCTGGCCTGAAGTAACACTCAGAGGTACTTTTTGCATCACTGTAACTTCTGGAGACTCCTTCCAGTTACAGTGCATTCCTATTTTCTTCCCTGATGGCACTGGAG